TTGGAAACCCTAGATAGGGTCACTATGAGTCAAAACCAACTCGACAGCACTTAACAACAATGACATTAAGGATATGTTTCTGTGTTTATTGGCCATTCGTTTGGAAGAAATATCTATTCAGGTCCTTTGCCCATTTTAAAACAGGATTATTTGTCTTTTTAAGAGCCCCAAGGTGGCACAATGGTTAAGCACTCTACTATTAATCAACGGCACTTAACAACGCCAAATAACAACTAATCAAAAGATGGGCAGCTCCAAAATGGGGCTACAACGTGCCCAGTGAAGGAGGCTTCCTGTGGAGCCTCTACATTCCATAAGATCATAGGTGAAATCCTAAAACCCATCCAGAATCTTCTGAGGTGGGAAATTGCCACTTGAAAGGACAAGCAGACCAGCCTGGAGCAGCTAGAAAACCTGAAGAGACTTCTTGAAAGAAAGACCAACAGGAAAAATACAATACAATAACAGCAGTCTGACAGATTACTAAAAGAACAAACAAGTTGTTCACCCAGGAGACATCAAGGCAAGTGGTCAGATCCCCTCAGGCCAAACCCCCTGACAAGACTAAGACTCAGTGGGAATACACTAGCAGACAGCTTGGATTGGTGACCACAGGGGTCATTGATAAGAGGAAGTGAGGGAAAACAGCAATGAAGCTGCGAGCTAAGCCCTACAATGTTCAACAGACTCCTGTGAACCCAGGGGAGACCTGGTTGGCCAGCAGTGTGGCAAGACCTGGGGACTCATGGACCCAGAGTCAGGGATATAGCCACAGAGGACTAGAGTGGAGAGTGAAGCATCCAGTTGATAAGAAGAGAGGGCATATGCAAAAGAACACCCACACTTGCAGATAATACCCACTTGACGTGGCTTCAATGGCTGTATGAACAGAGCTCAACTAGAAGAAAGAAGAGGGAAAAAAAGAGCAATCTGATACAATTTGATGAACTTGACCTACACCTATGGATGCAGTAGCTCAAAAGAGGGAACAAATCTTTATAGCGAGGATCATTCCCACCCCCTCCACACACAGAGTAGACAGGGATGGGCAACTTGGACATTGGCTACCCAAAATGGGGGAGCTACAAAGGCAAGAGTGACTGGCTTGCAAGCTTTCAAGAGGGAGCCTAGATCCAGAGGGTACGGAGGAAGGTAGAGTGTCCACTGAGTAGTATCCAATCTGTCTGGGCGAGGCTGATGAAAGAAGATGTGGATAGGTCATTTGTGGTACAATAGAGAATAATTTTAATCAGGACTGATTGTGAGAATTGGAAATGTAAAGGAAGGCGTTTTGTAGCAAAAGGAGGGAAATGATTGAATCTGCAGTCTAGACGCAGAGGTCCCTGGGACCATCATGGGAAAAGTGCAGAGTGCAGGACCCTACCCAGAGAAGCAGATGGAAGCAGAGCTGATGACATGGAGAGATGGAGCGGCTGGGAACTCTAGACCCAGAGAGGAAGAGGGGCTGTGTGCTTGACGACCAGTGAGCAGGCTTGCAAGGTGCACCATTTGGTTGGTTGATGATGCATTGAGGGGATTGTAACCATGGCAATGAAATTATATACGATAGAATGAATGTAAAGCTAATGTTCTCCCATGTAAACTATCACATAATTCACAATTAAACATTTAAAAAAAAGGTTGGCAGTTTCAATCCACCCAGAGGTTGCTCGGATTATAAACCCAGTAATCTGTTTCCATAAAGTCACAACCTTGAAAACCCTACAAACTGTTTCTGTTCTCCATACCAGCATGGCTCTGAATTGGCACTGATGTGATGGTAACTGGTAGCGTACTGGTTACGAATCAGCCTGTGAACTACAAGGTCAGCAGTTCAAAATTACCAGCTGTTCTGCAGGAGAAAGATGAGGCTTTCTGCTCCCGTAAAGATTTACAGCCTCGGAAACCCTGTACAGGGTCGCTATGAGTCGGAACCAATTCCACGGCATATAACCACCAACAACAACAACAATTTGTGAAATTTACAAAAGCACGGTGGATATGAAACTAAAGGCCAATTGGATGGAGTTACCTACCCTGAGCCAAAATCTTATTAAAGAGTCCCTGAAGTTTGGCCCCAGGGCACGAGGTTCTCAGACCTGTTTGCCTTTTGTGCACAGCCCTGCCCAACAAGTCCACCACATTTAAGTTTAGGAGCCAGCCAGCCCTTCCTGCCCACACCCCTAACCCAAGCAACCCAGAACACTCTCTCCTCACAGATAAGGGACCTGAGAGTGGAACCAGGGTTCAAATCTAGGTCTGTCTGTCCAACTAACTCCTCGGCTCTTTGTCCACACACTTTCTGTGGATATCTGTATGCCCTGCCCTTATTTCCCAGTTTACCATGAGTTTACATGAGTTTCTGTCATCTTCATTCTTACCACAATGCTGGGAGGTGAGTCACATAGACATCATTTTCCCCGATTTCAGGAGGAGAAAATTGCCGCTGAACGGTGTGACTTTTTCTCTGCTTAGCAAAAGACAGAACCCATAGCACCCAAACCACTTAAGTCCCATGGGGCCCACTCTCTGACTTCAGTCCCCCACACCAAATCTAGCCTCACTTCATGGGGATGAGTCTCTTTGCTGGCCTAAAGCCACCCACTGGCCAGGTAACAGCAGACCTGGGCTACTGAAACTTCCTCTAGGACAGCCACCACCCAGCACCAGCTGGGCCCTCTGGCCCGGCACTCCCAACCCTACCCAGCCCAGCCCCAACAGATCCAACTCGAAACCTTTGCCCCTGCAAGAACTAGGATCCTGGTTTCCATGGCCTCTGGCCCTGAGTGCCTATCACCCCAGGGCTTGGGCACTCACTGAAGGAAGAGGAACAGACTGCATGTCTATGATCTGTGAGATGAGGGCAGACCAGAGAAACCTCTAGGTCAAGCTCAATGACTGTTCACATTTCACTTAGAAGAGTCCTTGGTGGTGGTGGTGGTGGTGATGTGCCGTGGAGGCGGTTCTGACTCATAGCGACCCTGAACAGGGTTTCCGAGGCTGTAAATCTTTATAGGAGCAGAAAGCCTCATCTTTCTCCCGCAAAATGGCTGGTAGTTTCAAACTGCTGAACTTGAGGTTAGCATCCCGACTCCTAACTACTACACTACCTTGTTGTTGTTGTTGTTGTTAAATGCCATCAAGTTGGTTCTGACCCATAGCGACCCTGTATAGGGTTTCCAAAGAGCAGCTGGTGAGCTTGAACTGCTAGTCTTACAGTTCAAATGGCTTTGAAGTCTGATGCATTAACCCACAGCGCCACACCAGGAGTCCTACACTACCTTGGGTCCTACTATATTACGAAGTCCCCTGATTCAGGTAACCCCAATGGCATCTCATTATCAGTCATTTATTCCTGTTGGAAAGCCTAGCAGGCAAGGCTATGAGAGTATGAAAAAAGGACACCTTTTCTTCATTCCAGTCACAAAATCAAACACTCATATTTCTTGAGTAGCCATTACCCAGTAGGCACTGGGGACACAGCGGTGACTAAAGCTAGCAAGGTCTTTGCCCTCTTGGAGCCGACATTCTGTAGCAGGGAGAGAGACAACAAAAGATAAATAAGAAAAGTAAGGAGTCTGTGTAAACAAAACCAAAAAACCTACTGCTGATTTTGACTCAAAGGTTAGCCGCTCAATGCTTAACCCACCATGCCACCAGGACTCCTTTAGAGACTATGTCAGATAGTGATCAATGTTGTTGGTGTGACTACTGCTGAGTCAGTCCCGACCCATAGTGACCCTGTAGAGGGATTCCAAGGCTGTACATCTTTGAGGGAGCAGAAAGCTCTTCTATCTCCCATGGAGTGGCTGGTGGGCTTGAACCACCAGTGTTGTGGTTCAAAGTCCAGAGGAGCTGCAATTTTAAATAGGATGGACAGGAAAGGCCTCACTAAGGGGGAATCCTGAAGGAGGGAAGGAATCGACCCAATGAGCATGGAGTGGGGAGGGGAAAGTAGGGTTCCATGCAGAGAGGACAGCAAGCTTAGGGGACCAAAGGCGGAAGTCAGCACACTGGCAGACTAGCCCGGTGGTCACGCATTGCAGTGAGGGTAATACAGGAGACGAGTTAGAGAAATAAATTGGGGTGGGGGTAGGCAGACTGGCAGTTGTGAGGAGTGGGGTTTCCACTCACAAAGGCCCTTGAAGAGCTCTAGGCAGAGTGAGGGCTAACCCAGTAGTAGGAACAAGGACATTGGCAGCGGAGGGAAGACTTCCTACTCTTGGCTGGATCAAACTTCTTTGAGCAACCCTTCACCAAACTGGGCCCTGGCACTGACTAGGACTCAGAGGAGGGCGGGCCCAGGCTCCTTGAGGGGAGAGTCTCGGTAGGAGGGGGCCTGGGAGAGAAGACCGGTAAGCTCCAGGGATCCCAGTGTCACTGCAAAAGGATAGAAGTTGGAGGAGCAGAGCTGGAGAGGACTGGAAGAATTGAGCTCCCCACTAGTCTCAGGCGGACCTCGGGGGTCTCGGCGGGCGGCCCCTGGCTTGTGGCCCCCACGGGCCAGCATCAGGCCGCCAGTGTGTAACGACGGATGCTGCCTGGAGAGACCCAGGAGCCGGTCCGCGGCGCTAACTCGGAAAACAGTGCAGCCACACCCACTTGGGCCCTCCCCGTCCCGAGTCCTCAGGAAGCTAGCAGCGCCCCCAACCCCACGCTGCTCTTGCCAACGGGGTCAAAAATGGGGAAGGGCAAGCAAAATCTGGTTTGCATCCCAAATCCCTGACGCCGCAGCCGCCATCCTCGGGCGTCCTCGGGAATTGGTTTCTGAGCAGCGGGGACGAGGGGCGGGGGGACTGGAAGGGAGGGAATAACAGGCCCCACCCTCGGGAGTACCCCTCCACCCCCGCGCCCGTGCGCCACTCCCGGGAAGGTGAGGAGGGTGGGAGCCACGTCACTGTCCCCAGCCCGAGAGCGTGCAGCTCCGCCCCTCCCGCCCGCCCCCAGCGAGCGCTGGGCCCCGAGCTAAGACGCCCCGGCCCCAGCTCCCCGCCAGCCCAGTAGCCGCCGCCCGCCCACAGAGCTAAGACAGGTGTCCGCGCAGCAGCGGCGCCAGCGCGCTGAGCCGAGCCGTTAGCACGCGCAGTGCGTGAATCTATCCTTGGGACCGACCGTCCGTCGGTCGGCCGCAGCTCAGGTCCCGGCCCCGCGGCCCGGCCCCTCTTTGTCCGGCATCCGGAGCCGCCCGGCGGACCCAACTTTGACGCCGCAGCCATGTCCATGGGCCTGGAGATCACGGGCACTTCGCTGGCCGTGCTGGGCTGGCTGGGCACCATCGTATGCTGCGCGCTGCCCATGTGGCGCGTGTCGGCCTTCATCGGCAACAGCATCATCACGGCGCAGATCACCTGGGAGGGCCTGTGGATGAACTGCGTGGTTCAGAGCACCGGGCAGATGCAGTGCAAGGTGTACGACTCGCTGCTGGCGTTGCCACAGGACCTGCAGGCGGCCCGCGCGCTCCTGGTCGTCGCCATCCTCTTGGCGGTCTTCGGGGTCCTGGTTGCCCTCGTGGGCGCCCAGTGCACCAACTGCGTGCAGGATGACACAGCCAAAGCCAAGATCACCATCGTGGCGGGCGTTCTCTTCCTGCTGGCCGCCCTGCTCACCCTTGTACCGGTGTCCTGGTCGGCCAACACCATCATCCGGGACTTTTATAACCCCCTGGTGCCCGAGTCGCATAAGCGCGAGATGGGCGCTGGCCTGTACGTGGGCTGGGCAGCTGCGGCGCTGCAGCTGCTGGGGGGCGCGTTGCTCTGCTGCTCCTGCCCGCCGCGCGAGAAGAAGTACGCGCCCGCCAAGATCCTCTACTCCGCGCCGCGCTCCATGGGCCCGCCCGGCACTGGGACCGGCACCGCCTACGACCGCAAGGACTACGTCTGAGGGAGAGATCCCCCTTTCCAACAGCGGGAGCGCCCACCCAGTCTATGGTGCAATCTTGCTTCAGAGACCCGCCCACGACCCCAGATGCCAGGCAGCCCCCTTTAGACTGGAAGGGCCCGACCGGACACTCCTTTCCCCAGCCGACATCTCTCCGCACAAGGAAGGAGCGGGACTGTGGGGCGCTGGGGCCCACTCGCACGAACATGGAAACCTCGCGCCTCTGGAGCAGGAGGCTGAGGCGACCGCCGATACTTGTCCAGCCCGTCGGTCCGCAGCCCCAAAGCCGGCGATGGGCGGGGATCGGCAGCCTTGAAACGGGCTACTTGATATTTTTCAATAAAAGTCTTTTGTTTTGCAGTTACCGGCGCCTCCTTGTCCTGAGCATCGGCAGGTCTTCACGTCCCTGCAGAGCTCCCCCTCAGTGTCTTCCCGGGCCGCAAACTCCTACTGCTCGCCGGCTGCCAGGAGGGCCGGTAGAAAAGGGCAGGGATAAACGGAAAGGTGGTGTTGTGAACGGAATTAGGCGGCTTATGGTCAAAACGGTTGCAGAGGGAGGTGGGGGAAGGGGTGTCAGGGACCCGCTTCTCAGGGAGGTGCCGTTTGGGTTTGCGGTCCACCCTCCAGAGTGCTGCTGCCCACCGAGGGGCACTTCAAATCTGTGATTCCATTTGTGGGAAAAGAAAATCGAAAGACTCAGGGTTTTTGTAAATCACACCACCAAAGGGCAAACTGAGCAGACTCTTCTCACTCGCTCCAGGGGAGGTAGAGGGGAGCTCAAAATGGGGTATGGCACCCTAAGTGGAGGTAAACAAGGTTGAAAAGCACTTGTGCGTTAGGGCAGGCTCTGCAAGGGCAGCCAATGAGAACAGGGGCCTGTCCACTGCTGTGCTCAGAGAATGAGAAACTGCGTATGGCTGAATTGCAGGGGAAGACAGGAAGTTGGGTATAAAGCTCAAGGGGTCAGTGGCAGCCAAGTCATGGAGCATCTCATGTGGGCATTGCCAGACTTTGTACCTCAGTCTAATGGGAGTCAAGGAAGGGAAGTACCCGGTAGGAACTATACCCTAAAATACTCTTTCCTGATTTGGGAGTCTTAGGGAGGAAGGTGGAGGCAGGGAGACCAGCTACAAGGCCACACAGTTATCCCAGCATGCTGCATGTGGTCAGAAGTAAGGCAAGGACAGTGAGGCTAAGGCAGGGCCTGAGATGGGGTGGTAAGAAAGCAGGGCTTGAGAGCCTGTTGGTTGTGCAGGAGAGAGAAGGAAGAATCTAGAGTAGCCCCAAGTTTTCTGTCTTAGGTCATGGGCAGAATCATGGTGCCATTTACCGCATTAGAGAGCACATCAGACTAGGTTATGCAGAAGACGGTAGGTTCTATTTTGAAGGTCTAAAATTTGACAAATCTTTGGGACCTCCAGGTAGAGACGTCCAGGAAATAGGAGGACATATATAGAGATCTGAAACTCTAAAATGAGAAACTTGGGAGTTGGCAACATACGGTGGCAACCGAAACCAGGGAAGTGGATGAGGTCACTAGAAACCAAAAGGAAAAAAGGTTTCAGGAAGGCGGGTGTTGGCAACAGTGTCCAAGGCTACAGAAAAGGCCTGAGGAGTGGCCGTGGGACTCAGAGCTACATGGTGGTCAGTGGTGACCTTAGCCAGTGGGGTGAAGGCTGCATCAGTGGGTGGGAAAGTAAGTGGAAGGTGAGAAGTATTTTACAGGAATTACAACCACTGGCTGTGCTACCCTCAGTTAAGGGCCACAATATCATTTTCAAGCAAACTTTTTAGGTGCATGGCCTCCATGTTGCTTGAAAATGATATCGTGGCCCTTAGCTGAGGGTAGCACAGCCAATGGTTGTAATTCCTGTAAAATACTTAATTGGTCAAAGTTGGGTGATAGATACAATTACAACAATGACACACAAAAAAGTAGCTGTGAAGCTGCTTAGGTACAACCAAACACCTCACAGGATTTGGCTCCTTGATTTGGAGTCTTGGGATCATGGTTTTATGGAATAGCCCAATTAATCAGCTCAATAACATGGTTAGTTCTCCTTTTTTACCAGTGTGTAAGAAGCTCTGATAGCGTACTGGTTACGAATCAGGTTGCTAGCCTCATAGTCAGCAATTCAAAACTACCAGTGGTTCCGTGGGACAAACACAGGCTTTCTCCTCCCGCAAAAATGTACAGCCTCGGAAACCCTAAGCAGTGTCGCTATGAGTCAGAACCAACTCCATGGCACATCACCGCCACCACCACCATTTGGTGCATAGCACCTGGGGTCTTAAAAGCTTGCAAGCAGCCATCCAACGCATAACTAACGGTATTTGTTCACCTGCAATAACAGAGGAAGAAGGAAAGGCAGAAAAGAGAAGAGAAGTGAGCTGTGTGGCTAATTCCATCCATGTCTCCGTTGCCGAGACCACAAGAACTGGATGGTGCCTAGCTACCATTTCATTACTGAGACCATAGAAGAATCCTGATCAAAAGGGAGAAAATGCATAACAGAATTTCAAATTTTCATGGATTCTAGACTTTCTTGAGCCATGGAGGATGAATGAATCCCTAAAATTATTGCCTTGAAATCATCTTAAACCTTAAACCAAAGACATTCCTTGAAGACTTCGTAAAATGAAATCATAGTTTAGCTTAGGTAGCAAAAGAGGTCAGCCTTAAACATCGTGCATGCTCTTTTAGGATCTGTTCTTGTTGTTAAGTGACTTTCAGTGGATTCCCAACTCAAGCTACCCCATATAGCGTTCCCAAGGCTGTAAATCTTTTCAGGAGCAGAAAGTCTCATCTTTCTTCCCCCTAAGAACTATCTGTATAGGATTGAATTGACAACAGCAACTCAAAGGCTCCGACAGGAACCTTAGAGGGGCAGGCGGTGAATTTATGTTAGTGGGGGTGGAAAACAACTCAGAAAAGGAGGATGAGAATGGCTTTACAACTCAGAGAACATAGACAACGTCACTAAATGGTACACGGAAAAACTGCAGAATTGGTGTTCATTTCGTTGTGTATAGTCTCAATAACAAAATTAATAAAATTTAAAGAAAAAACATATAAAAAGAATTAAAAACTGTTAGCAGGAATCATGGAAGAAAAGCAAGGGTCAAAGGATAGGTATTTTAGGGTTGGCAAGACTTTGAATTATTTTGTAAGTTACTATACCCCTTTGCCTGCATCATGTCCTCCCTCCCCCGCCACTCCAAGCTAAAGCAAAAGTTCCTGTGGCCGCAGCCAGCGGTTGTGGTGGAATGTCACAAAGAGAAAGCCTCTATCTAGTGTACAGTCGGAAACATTCTTTCTTTCTCCTTCCAGGTAAGGAACACACAGAGCACACAGCACCCCTTATGACCCAAGGAAAAGGAAGTGTGTTACTGTTAATAGTGCCCTCTAGTTTTAGATCATTCTCTGTAAGTTTCCAAGAAAAGGTACTCCCCCAGTGAAAATCTGTCTGCTAGGAATCACAAAGTTGAACATTCAGTCGAGAAAACTGGAGGAGCGGGAGAAAGGGGGTATGAGTTCAGAGAGGCGGCCCAGGTTCACAGGGATGGTTCAGTGAAGAGGAGGGGCTTAGTGAGAAGGAGGGGTCCTAGGAGGAGACTCAGAGAGAAGAAGGGGAGAAGTGAGGGGAAGGGCCAGTGAAGAGGAAAGGACAGGATATCAGGGAGGGGGAGGGGAGGCCTAGTGAAGGGAAGGAGGAGGAACCACATAGAGTTGGGGAAGGGCTCTGAAGGGGATGGGAACTGAGAAAAAAATGTTCTCTACCACAAAATCAGAGATTCAAATCCACCAGCTGCTTCTCAAAAGCCCTATACAGGGTCGCTGTGAGTCGGAACCAATTCAATGGCACTTAACAACCACAACCTGTGTGGGATAGGATTGGGTGGGGGCAGAAGGCCAAAGGGTGGCATCTGCCTCCGACCTCAGCCATCTCTGGCCCAGGAAAGCCTGGGAGTCAGGTTGCCTCAAGCCAGAACTGAGGGGCAGCTAATAGCCTCTTTGTCCCAGAAAGCCCTGGAGGCAGGAGCAGGGTTACTCATTTACCACCAGCCTGGACACCATTAATGTAGTCACACTGCAGTCTAAGCCCAGGCCCAGGGCCTTCCTGCCCAGTCCAACACTGGAGCCCACTCCCCACAAGCCAAAGGGATGCAGCCATGAGAGGCAGACTCCCTTCTGGGGAAGACGGGGCATTCGGGCTTCAGAATCTCCCCTTTCTGAGCCTGGACTCCCCTGGGATCTCCTGAGGGGGTGGGGTATCCTACCCCACTGTGTGCTCCCCACTGTCCCCGACCTCATACATAGCCTTGTCTGGCCTCAGGGTCTGTCCTAACTCAGCTTCTTTTTATCCTTCCTAGAGTCTAGGGCTTAAGCAGGCGTGGAAGCCCATAGTATGTAGCCAGCTATCTGAGGGCCACAGAGAGGAATATGCCAACAGCTGGAGAGGAGAAAGGCACTTACAGGTCTGGGCTGTTCAACCACTCCTTTCCTGTGTGACCCGGTAAATCTTTCTCCTGTGAGTCCCCATCATTTCCGTAAGGAAGCTGAACCAGATGACCCATGAAGACCTCTCTAACTTGTCTTTTCCATGCCCATTTTTATCCACAAAGGAAAATTAGCCAGAACCAAACTGACTAGATAAGTAAAGCAATTCACTCCTCTGAGACTCAGTGTCCTCATCTACAAAATGGGCATGATCACATCAACCTGTATTTCACTAGGCTGAGCTGAGGAGGGTTCTCACACAAGTATTCTCACCCCATCATAGCACATTGTTGCTGTTGTTGTTTAGAGCCGTCAAGTCAGTTCCGACCCACAGCAACCCTCTATAGGGTTTCCAAGGAGTGGCTGGTGAGCTTGAACCACCAACCTTGCAGTTCATACTGACTTTGCAGTCCAGTGCATTAACCCACAGCACCACACCAGAACTCCTTTTTTGTTTCTTCTTATCACAAACAAAGTCATCCCCTGGGATCACAGGCCCCTG